GCCACCTGCTGAGCTACCAGAACTTCCACCAGTTCTACGAAGGGCCACCAGCTGAACCACGAGGGCCTCCAGCTGAGCCACGAGAGACACCAGGAAGGGTACCCTGGGACGCACAGAGACATGCTAATACTGTGTCCTCCTTGGAGCCGCGCGTCCGACCCGAACATATAGTATACCCATCTTGTAATATCGGAGGCTTGGGTGTGAGATCGCAGTGGAACGGAGACCCCCAACCTGGAAATCGTTTCGTTTTGTTCGTGTCGTGCGTGCGGGCGAGGCGAAGCTGCGTGGCGCGCGGGAGGAATGAACCCGCCGTTGCTAGGGCGAATTCAAAATAACTGTTTCTCCTCCGACCGTCCGTCCGTCCGTCCGTCAGGCGGTGGCCCTAGCGGTGTCCCGCGGTGTCCCGTGGTGTCCCGTGGTGTCCCGTGGTGTCCGCCGTTGCTAAGGCGAAGTCAAGACAAATGTTTCTCCTCCGTCCGTCCGTCCGTGCGTCCGTCCGTCCGGCGGTGGCCCTAGCGGTGTCCCGCGGTGTCCCGCGGTGTCCCGTGGTGTCCCGTGGTGTCCCGTGGTGTCCCAAAAAATGAGATCGATGGTGAGATCGATAGTGAGATCGATAGTGAGATCGATAGTGAGATCAATAGTGAGATCGATACTGAGATTGATGTGGTGCCCCGAGGTGTCCCGTGGTGTCCCGTGGTGTCCCAAAAAGTGAGATCGATCATAAGATCGATAGTGAGATCGACAGGTGTCCCGTGGTGTCCCGAGGTGTCCCGTGGTGTCCCGTGGTGTCCCGTTGAGTGAGATCGAGAGTGAGACCGATAGTGAGATCGATGTGGTGCCCCAAGGTGTCCTGTGGTGTCCCGTGGTGTCCCGTTGGGTGAGATCGATAGCGAGATCGACAGGTGTCCCGTGGTGTCCCGTGGTGTCCCGTGGTGTCCCGTGGTGTCCCGTTGAGTGAGAGATCGATAGTGAGATCGATAGTGAGATCGATACTGAGATCGATGTGGTGCCCCGAGGTGTCCCGTGGTGTCCCGTGGTGTCCCGTTGGGAGAGATCGATAATGAGATCGATAATGAGATCGATGTGGTGTCCCGTGGTGTCCCGTGGTGTCCCGTGGTGTCCCGTTGGGTGAGATCGATAATGAGATCGATAATGAGATCGATGTGGTGCCCCGAGGGGTCCGTCGGTGTCCGTCCGTTGGTGTCTCGCCGGGAGAGTCGATATATGAGATCTGATAATGAGATCGTTGTTTGTGATCCCCGTGGTGTCCCGTGGTGTCCCGTGGGTGTTCCGTTGGGTGCGATCGATAATGAGATCGTAATGGAGCTCGAAGTGGTTGTCCGAAGGTGTCCCGTGGCAGTCCGTGGTGTCCGTGGTGTCCGTGGTGTCCCGTATTGGGTGAGATCGATAGTGAGATATGATGTAGTGGAGACGATAATGAGATCGCAGGTGTCCGTAGGTGTCCCGAGGTTTTGTCCCGTGGTGTCCCGTGGTGTTCCCGGGATGTCCGTTTGAGTGAGATCGATAGTGAGATTCAGTAGTGAGGTCGACTAGTGTCCCGTAGTGTCCCGTGGTGCCCCGTGGTGTCCCGTGGTGTCCCATTGAGTGAGATCGATAGTGAGATCGATTGAGTCAGATGTTGGTTCCCCCCCTCTCCCCCCCCCCCCACACAACCTCCTTATCACCCGAAGGGTGGTCGTATAGGTATCGTGTTCCGAGAGGTGTGACCAAAAAGCGCCCGCCACGAGGCATACACTATAAGATTTCTCGGTGCGCGCGTCGCCCCTGGGGGTGCGAGGCACACGTAGTATTAGTATGTTGGCGTGCTGCCGATGCTAAGCTAAAAGAGCTACCGGCAGAGCTTCAACGGTAAACAGCCCAGCTACGAGTGCCAAAGGCTGAACTACGAGGGTCGCAAGAGGGGCTACGAGGACCACAACCTGAGCTGAGCCACTGGCAGTTTCTTAAGCCACCTGCTGATCAACCAGAGCTTCCAACAGACCTACGAGGGCCACCAACTGAACTACGAGGCCCACAAGCACGACCACGAGAACTCCAGCTGAGCCACATGAGCCACCAGGAGAGGTACCAGGGCCACCTGCTAAGTTACAAGAGCCACTAGCAGAGCCAGAAGGGCAACTCGGTCAGCTACGAGGGCCACAACCTGAGCGACTTCCAACATACCTACAAGGGCCTCCAGCTGAACTACGAGGACCTCCCGCTGAGGCACGAGAGGCACCAGGAAAGCTGCAAGGGCAACCGGCTGAGCTCCCAGTATCACCAGCAAAGCTAAGAGGGCCACGGACTGAGCTACGAGCACCACAGTCTAAGTTACGAGAACCACAGGAAGGGAAACGAGGACCACCCGCTGAGCTTCTCCAAGGGCCACCAGCAGAGCTACAAGGGCAACCGGCAGAGCTCCGAGGGCCACCGGCTGCACTACGAGAATCACAGGCAGGGCTGCGAGGACCACAGCCTGCCCTACGGGAACAACTGG